GCTGCTTTTCCTGGACAGAAGTAAGCTAGCTTCCTCTTTACTGTTCAAAACAATTTTCAGAGGTCGTGGCCGCACAGTTTCTGATTGTTCGCTCACCTTCTTTCCGATCCTGAAGGCTGCGCGAATGGTTATCTTTTCATTTGAATTAAGCATTTCGTTCAGTAGGTGTTGAAGCATATTAAGGTCAGCGGAGATCCTCTCCTTCGGGGTAGAAGCATCCGACTCCGATAGACCCTGGACGACTACGCAGTGCTGACGATCAAGTGGTTCATTTTTTCTGTTTCCGGTGGCCTTGTCAGCTGAAGGTCTCAGAAAATCCACCGGAGTCGTCTGGGGTTCTATACTTCCGTTGTGGCGCTTACCTTTTCCATCTTGCCATGAGCTTGTTTCCTCACTTCCAACTGAGGGTCCTGTTGAACACGCGGAATGGCTGAGAGAAGTTGATGGTTCGCTTGGGTTGTCTCCCATAGAAACAAGAGACTCCGTTGCTATTTTCCCATCGTCCTGAGTATCGGCGCTCTTGCACAGAGGTTTTCCACATGCTTTGTTCTTTGGCTGTTTCAGAGTTTTGCTCTTTCCCTTTTTCTTGCTAACTTTAGCGCTATTCACCGCGTTTTGCACACTATCGTTCGCTTGCACGAGTTCCCTTAAAGCAGTCAACTCTTTTTCGAGTTTTTAGACTTTCAGCAGAATAAATGAGCATCCAGTGCATGGCTCGTCCTCGTAACTAACAGGTTTTGCTGTGATAACGCTTTTAGCGCGCTTTGCGGGCCCCTGGTTGCAACTATAAAGAGAGCGAGCGCTAATCCTAGGTGGCAAGGCCTTCTCAATTGACTTTCCTTCATACATAGTGTCGTTTGTACTACGAATAATGTTTACTCCCTTATTTATTTCAGTCAGCTGGGCGTGCGCCGATAGTCTAGCGGTCGTCTCGCTGGTGACCCTACGACTGGACGTGGATTCAAATCCCACTTGCGGTGAGTTTTTCGCACATTGTCCTGATGGTGTTTTGTCGACTCCCATTATTAATTCAAACGATACGCAAGGGATTCTAGGTATGGGCGAAGTATTTAAAGGTGTAGGAGAAGCTTTTTAACCAAGCCAAAAATATGAAGTAAATATCAAACGACTCAGCCGCTTCTGGATCTGGAGAACCCCGCGGTGCTGTTGGCAGAGAATTGATACGAAGGAGTATGGTCGTCCCAAAGAAAGTTCTGTCGGAGTTCTGAGTGGATCGTTCGAGGAATTGCTGATTACGCTTCAATTTCTTAATGCAAATGGGCCCGCAGAGCGTCCGGTAGGCAGAAATCCCGGAAAAAGCAAACTGTGACCAATCGTGTTGGCTCACTCCTGCCTCGCCACCTCGACGGACTTGCCTGCTGTTAGCCCAAAAATATAAGCATTGCGTCTGCAGCAAGAAGTCTCACCCGGTTTGGGAATTCAACCTCGGCGAGGACCGTTTCAAATCCACTTTACACTCTTGCCTGCGGAACGGTTCTCTCTGACCTTCACATTCACCTTCTCGTGGGCGACGGTTTTTTCTCCTTAATAACTAAGTGGTTGAGGCTTCTGTCATCGTAACTACATTCTGGAGGGTAGTTAAGGACCAAGCATGCCTCGAACGAGTACAACGGCGTGCAACAATGCTGGTAAACTGTCTAAAAAACCAATCTTATACAGAAAGACTGAATTGCCTTAATTTATTCCCTCTGTGTTACAGGCAGCAAAGAGGTGATCTTATCCTCGTCTACGAGATAATACATGGCCTTGAGTATGAACTTAAATTTGAGGACATATTTCAGTGGCACCTTTCACCCAATCTTCGTGGTCACTCGATGAAGTTACGGACAACAATGTCCAGGCTGAATCTTCGTTCTGAATTTTTCACGCAGAGGGTAGTGGAGAAATGGAACGATCTCCCTCAGTCAGTCGTGGAGGCTACGTCCCGGCAACTCTTCAAGAAACGCTTGGATGATTATTTGTGTCTTCAGTTTTCCCTCGACGGTCTGAATCTGAATTAATACCCCTGGTCCAGACAAATATTTTCTCTAAGACAATGCTACTCAAATGAACCAAGAACTGTTTTAATAGTGAACATTTTTTGTTCGTGCACAGTTATTTCTAACGAGCTGACATGTAATTAGTAGGGTTTTCAAAGGCTTTGCCTATTATCCTTACCAAATAAACTGAAAAAAATAAACTGGAGGCATCTGAGTAGTATGTTTTCCTGGTCATGAGATCTTATTGTGGAAAAACACTCATCTCCAGTAAAGGTTTCGGCTGAGACATCAATAACACTTTGCTCAATGCTAGTTTTGATGTAGATAAGACAATTTCCGCCTCGTTTACTAACGCGGTCCTGTCGATAGAACTTAAAATTTGGGATATATTTGCGAAGCGTTCGATATAAGTTCATTTGCCCATGTTTATCTGATGTAAATCATATCGGGGTTATATATTTCAACAAAAGTTCTGAGTTAGGATATTTTATTGACAATCGATCTCGAATTTATAAGAGCTATCTTTAGGATATCGGATATGGAAGAGGTGGGCTGTGGTGAAAAAAAGGATTTCTGAGGGTACTTTGATTGAGAGATGGACTTAATGATGAAAAGTGTCTGGTTCTTCGAGGATTTGGTGATGCTTATGACGGAAATTTGAGTGCATGGGTTAGTGTGTATGGATTGAGTGTACATATGGGGAGGTGAGTTAGCTAGGCAGTAATTGCACCTATATGAGGTTTCAGTTGGGGAGGTGTAAAAGCCGAAGTAATTTGTGGAGTTGCCATTAGGTGGTAAAAGTTTGGAATGATAATAATAATAATCATAATCATTTTTTATTAAAGACCCGTCGGGTTATTTTGACTTATTCCTATGCCATGCAGGTGGTTTCGATTTATATTTATAGAAGCTTATTTTTCTGGTTAGAGTTTGGAGACCTCCTATTTGTTATTTGTTATAAGGTTTCTATGTCTGCAGTATACATTGTATTCGGTTACATTTGGAATTCTGCTCACTTAGATAGCCCCTAATTCGCTTATATTGTTAAATCCATCAAATTATTTCCAGCTAAACTTGCTCAAATAGTAGGCTGACTGCCTTACAGTCAGAAGTCAGCGTGTTTGTATTGGTGTCGCCAAATCTGAATGCAAATCATTCATAACAGTTTCGGCAGGGGGCGTTCTGTGTACCATTCTCTTCTTGATAAATGCAAACGACTGTCTTGGTTGCCTGACCTTGGAGAATGCAATGTTCGTTGGTGATCTGTAGGTAGTCATTTAAGTAGAAATGACAGAAAATTTGCTAAACTTGCAAAGCGACTTCGATCGATATCAGCAGTGTTGTGATGTATGCCCTCTCAAACTCAATCTTAGCAAATGAAGAGTCATTCGACTAAGGTCTAGTTGCAGCAAGGTTGCGAGATTTGAATATCAGTATTCCCCCGAAGGTCACGAACTTTAGTTAGTAAACGAGTTAAAAGACCTAGTTATGAAGGTGACTTCCACGCTCAAACCTTTGGATCAGTGCACCAAGATAGCAAAGAGGGCTATGGGTTTCCTTGAGGGGATCTGAAGAGGTTTCCTTAACTTCGATGAAGTAGCATTGTTCGCATGTTTGAAACATTTATCCGGCCGATGTTAGAATATTGCGTTCAGGCTTGGCGCCATTGGATGAAGAAAGACTACACTCTTCTGGAGGGTGACCAGACCAGTCAGCGGACTGAAGCACCTACCTTATTAAGAACGGCTTGAAGGGCTCACGCTTTATCTGATAGGCAAAGTAGGGGGAGATGATCATGATATTCAAACTCGTCAGAGGAGCAGACATGGCATTTCAATTAGTATATTTTTTTGAACTGTCGCAAACGACAAATCTCCGAGGCCATCGATGCAAACTGAAAACAATAAACTCCAAGGTAATCGTACGGGTTATTTTCTTCTTCTACCTGGTGATTTGAGAATGGAAAATATATCTAATTCGGTTGTTCTGACGGAAAGCGTTAGATGTATAAAGTAACACTGGATAAAATTATACATGGTGACAATATACTAAGTTGGCAAGAACTGACATAATGTACTCGCACATCTGCGCAAAACTGTGCACGTTATTTAAAATGGATTTTTCGAAGGCTCCTGTCTACCATAAACAACGCAGTTGCGATCGCTCTTCAGTCTGACAAAGAAAAATTACCAGGCAACCCACGAGTATTTTTACCCAACTTCATTTCGACATCACATGAGACCGTCCTTTTCCATTATCACAACTGCGTTTGACACCGCCATTTTCTGACCTTCGGATATGCATTCCCCTCGTTTGCTTGTGTGCAAATATTTCTACATACACTTGAAGATGTTGTCGTAAAATAGGGGTCTGCTTAGTTCGTACTCGGGAAACCGAATACAGAATTTTCTGTTGAGTAAGATTCTCAATGGCACAACCAACACTGATTGTGTACTGTATTCATTTGTTCCAGATAGCGCTGAACCATTTTCAAGCGACCTTGCTATTTAGATGTGGATTCTCCGTACAGTGTTGAACAAAATTTGCTCTTCCTGAATTTAAAAATGTCAAAAAAGTTTTCTTTTCTGAAATCTCTCACAAAATTCATTGAAAAACCTTGGTTTTTTGACGAAATTAAAAAAACTAGAACACTTCATAAAGTCTGGCATATTTATCTGCGCTGACGATGGCAGCGGTAACTTTAAATAGTTTTGCCTTGGGATTTTGAGCCCTTCTTGGTCCCTGGTGGTTTACGTGAAAGGACTCTGACATGGTTGTTGGTATTCCATACGCGGTACAAGAGTTCGTTGTCTTCACAGACTTAGTCCAAGCAAACGTACGTAGCTTTCTTGTTGCATACGTTATAAG